TCCTGCTGACACCTGACAGCAGTTCCAGGTTTTGTCAGTCACGCTCTTTTTATTGAATTCCTAATTTCTTTTCTTATCAAATTTTATACTCTCAGCTTCTTTGCCCAACCAGTCAGACTTCTTCCCCAGCATGCCTCCGTGACCGGGTTTCATGTGGATCAAAGCTCTCTGTGTTGCCTGGGGACTGGCTTTCTTGTATGGGTACCAGTGCTGCCCTGAAGCATTTTGTACCACACACTAGTTCTGTGTGGTGTTCATCTATTTTGTACGAATTACATGTGCACAGTTTTGTTGGCATTAGAAGCTGGGACTTGCTTTAGCAGTGGGTTTGGACTAGGTGATCTCCTGAGGTCCCTTCCAACCCCCACCATTCTGTGATTCTGTGATCCTTGGTGCATATATGAGGTGATAAGCTTAAGTTTTGAGTTTTTACACACTGAGATTTCTTTCCCAAGGCTTATGTCATTGTCAGATCTGGGTGGTTTACTGTGGATATGGTAAAATGCACATCTTTCCAAAAGATTTACTGTCAGAATTCAAGTTTATAAAGCACAGAACTTTATGTTGCAGATTTCTGGCCTCATTCTCTGCAGCTGGACCGTCTTAACAGAAAATTTCAAAAAATCAGTTTAAGTCAAACAGATTTCTGTGTGGCAAAATTAGAGACAATGAAAAACAAGGACTGAAGGGAAAGGAACAATATCAGTAATGTGGTAGAAACATATTACAGGTAGCCTGATAACATCACCATTGCCTGCACTACTTTCCCTGCTGTGTACATACAGAACTATTTACAATACAGTATATATTCCATATACATATGTATTTGGTACTTGTGTGTACTGTTGTAAAGATTCCTGATTCTTTCTGTCTCATGTTGTTTATCAGGCCTTTGAAACTAAGAAACTGGACAAATATCCCTGTGTGAATCTTTAAGCCTGTAGGCATAGATGCACACTGGCATTCTTCTGAAATTTAAATCTTAATACAAGGAACTCGCAGCCCTCAACTGAGTTATGAGGCACTTACTGAGTGAGTGGGAATGAGTATCATATTTCACAGAGGCTTATCACTATTCCATTTATAACCCCAGAGATTGAATTTATATGTCTCAAGATTCAGTTATTTATGTATAACACTGGAGAGTTTGTCTGTTGTTTGCATGTACACATATTGCTCTTTACAGTAAAAAAGAGGACAAATGTAATTGAAATTAAACAAAAATGAATAAAGTTGAAATTATTCTTCCTGAGATGATATGCATAATACACCTATGCTACAAAGGAAGATATAAATATAAACACTGTTAGTAAATTAGTGTATGGCAGTGGTATGCTTTGATCTATGTTCGATAGGGAACAAAAAATGAAAACAGAGTATTCAGTCTCCTATTAATTTTTTATTTTACTTGCAGGGGAAGAAGTGTGAAGGATATTGCATGGAATGAAAAGCACAGAGATCTTTAAATTTAAAAATGAGAATGTCCAAAAATATGGATTGATTAAATATATGGCATTGGCTTTTAGGCTTCATGCTATAGAGAAAGGCTTTTAAAATAATTTTTTCTCTTTTTAACCACTGCAGTTCGTCTGGATTATTATTTTTTTTTCAGTGCCGTTCATGATCACTTTCTAAATACAGGAAGGATTACCTTTATGAAACTTTCACTTATTTTAATAACTACTTTTTATAAAAGCCCAATGTAGTCTTGCCGTTCTTACTGTTTGGGTGGTTTTACACACCTTCTGGATTTCTTTTTTAGACAACTTGTTGTAATTAGAAAGCAATTATTGTTGTAATTGGAAAGGAAAATACATCTGAGATATTTATGGAATCTCATGACTTCTGTAGTTCTGTTTATAAGAAAAACATTGTGCAGCTCTTACTGACAGTCTCAAGCTTTAGCAATACTTCAGATGGGAATTATTTGGATTCCATGTGAAAATAAAATTCCCAGGCTTTTTTCTGAGTTGATAAATTAAATTTTTTTCATAAACCTATGGAGAAATGTTTTGGCCATTTCTCCTGGTTTTTAGCTGGAACAGAGCTGGGTTTCTTTTTAGTAGCTAGAATAATGGGGCATTTTGCTTCCAGCCTGGGACTCTCTGTGAGAGACACTGATAACGTACCAATGTTTACATTTTTGTCACTGGAAGTGAAGGACTTTGTGTTCTGTTAGTCCACAAGTGCAAGATCTAAGGGGGGGATGAATATTTAAATTAATAAGCTAAATGGACATTTAGATATGCCAATGGGACATTTCATATCATATCACATCATGTCCAGTATATTAGTGAGGGGCTCTTCCTCTCTTGCTCTCTCTGGCTTTCGCTCGGGCTCTGGCTCTCCCGGGATTGCGGTTTCGGTTCGGGATTGTCGCTCCTCCGGGATCGTTATCTGGGAACAGGCCGGACTTGGCCGGAGCTGTTGCAGTGTGTGTCACTCATTTGCATGTCTTGTTACTGTTATTATCATCACCACTACTAATTTAGTATTAGTATTATTTAAGTATTCTTTTATTTCTATTATTAAACTGTTCTTATCTCAACCTACAAGCCCCCTCATCCTTGCCCCCCCAGTCCTCTCCCCTATCCCCTGGGGTGGGGGGAAGTGGGTGAACGGCTATGTTGGCTGCTAGCCAAGGGCCAGCCCAGTGAAACTATCACACCATTTTTTTAAAACTTGTAACACACTTGAGATTATCCCCATCTGAAAATTCAGACTCGGAGGTAGTGCTTGAAGAGTAGTTTAATAATTCTAACAGTTATAAAAATCTCAACTTTGGATCCATATTTTCAAAGTGATTTCTAGTCCCTCTTGCTATCATTCTGCAGTTGTGTTGGGTGTTTTGTTTTTCTTCCAGTGGTGGTGGTGGTGATAGTGGGGAGATGGGCATAAAGAGGTTGTGGAGCTACATACGTGCATTAGGTTCTCACAGACAAACGTGAATTTTTGAATATAATAGATTCTGAGTGCAAATTTAAGGGCTGTTCTTGGAAAAAAACATCCTTTGGTAACTTCTTAGGAAGTAGATATAAAAAGGTAAAATAGAGAAAAGAGCCTTTTGTGTCTGGGCCATCATAATTTGAAATGTTCTGGTAAGAAGTATTGGCCTGCTTCCTAGTAAACAGGTGGCACTACAGTAAGAAAAACAAATAAACAAAAACCCCAAAACAACACCTAAATTTATAATCTGTTTTGGCAGGTTTCTGTTTAAGGGCAGACCTGAATTAGCCAAGTTTCTTGAGCTTACCCTTACATCTGAAGATTGTCCTTCCCTTTCTTGTTCATGGAAGATGATGAGTGCCATATATCTACTTTGTGGATTGACACAGGCTGTCAATGTTATTGACAAAACTGATTTTGTTAATTAGAAGAATCTCAGCAAAAGAGGAGGAAAATGGGAAAGTATTACAGCATATTTTAATCAAGTAATATAATAAAGGCCAGACACTGGGTGCAAGTTGATCAGAGGCACAGGAGTTGAAGATGCTTTTTTTGTAGTGGACAGTAGTTAAGTCTGTGTGGTAAGGATTCGTAAGCTGTAAAATGTGTGTAGAGATGGTTGAACATTTAGGTATTTTGGGTCTTAGTAGTAAACAAAAATTGCTTTTATTTATATGCCATAGCTATCAAGCAACTGTTAGGCTTATTTCAAAACAGCAAGTCAGAATTTAGTTTTTGGAAGTAAAATCACTAACAAATAAAGGCAAAATTACTCAAAAAGGCTTCCAGTTTCTCATCAAAGACTAATGATTAGAGAGATGTCAATAGAGTGATGAAAATATAAAACAATACATCTGCAATTACATAAACATGATTATTTACAACATTCCTTTCTTCATGAGTTGCCAACAACTGTTTTATTACAGATATCTTTGATTCTGTGGTCTTGTTTTAGGTCTTTCCTAAAGGTCTTCTGTTAAAAAAGCAGTTTGATTAGGTAGACAAGACAGTTTGTATATCTTCAGTAACTTGGTCTGTGTTTTTCATTCTCTATAAATCAACCACCATAGGCAATAATGGCGGCAGCGAGTTGTGAAGCTGAAATCTCTATTAGTAGATGTCATTTTGGCAGCAGCAGTTTCCTCATAGCACGTGTGGGGAACACATTCCTTTGAGTTATAGACCATTCAGTGGCAGATCAGTGGGAGCCTGCTCTCGGGCAGCTTTTTCCAGAAGGCTGGTAGAAAGGTACTGTTGGAGGATTTGGGTGGCTGTCCAAAGTCATCCTAAGTTAGGAAGCAGTGGACGTGTGTGTTAAATGACAATCGTTGGTCTCCAAGGAAGCTTATCAATGTAGTCAAACAAAACTTTTCTTTCTCAGCTTTTTCCCCATTTGCTCTTTCTGGAAAATTAGTTAAGAGCAGGGGTGGGGGGAAGAAGGAAAGGAGAGAAAAGAATTTCCCCACCTTTATTATAGAGCTTCAGTGTAAGATCTGAATGGAAACATAGCCAACATGCCAGAGCTTTAAGATAACAAATATGGTGGGTTTTAAGCATAAGCTTCCAAGACATCAAGGAACGTGGTTTCTCTCATGTCAAGTCATAATAGGGATCTAAGAACAGGGTGTGTAACATATTTATAGGGTTGTTATATTTATTTCTATGTAGTGGCAGTCACTTGACCACTTGGCAGTCAGTGATCATGTTGACTCTAAAATGGCATCCTCTTGACCATATGAATGGTCAAGTTTCCCTTAATGTAGATGCACACCATCTATTTGTGTTAATGACTTGTGTGCACGTATCGTGGAGAAGATGCACCAGATATCGTAAACTCTGAGGCATGCTTCACTTGTCCCATGCAATTTATTAGCAACATGAGTCATTCTAGCAGGTGGTAAGCGATGGCATTGACTGTATGCGAGTTCATTGTTTATTTGTGCATTCTGTTTTCCCTAACTGTATCTTAAGTGTAAGAATACAGAATATAATTTACATTCTTACTACACTAAAATGCTAAATTCACAGGATACCTACTGTGAGGGTAAAATGTGATTTATCTGCTGTACTAGTAATACTTGATCTTTCACATGCTGCTATAATAAATTACATAAAAATTTAGTGTTTTTAATAGAATTTTAATGGTTCTAAAATTAATTCTGGAAGCAAGGGGAGAAATAACATATTATTTTTGGATGAAATTGTTGTAATAAATTTTCAGAGAGTCAAATAACCACAATAAAGCAATGATATAATTTTTCCTTTCTGCAGTGTTAAAAAACCCCATCTGTAAGTTATATAGATTCCCTACTTCTGACAACAAGTGGATGCAGATTCGGGAACAGATGGCCGAGACTACACTCTCTTTCCATATTCCTAAAGAACTCATCAATCTGCACATAAAGGAGGATATGAGAAGGTAAGAAGACATAGCAATAGTAAATACTACGTTTTATTTTTCCAGGTTGGAATAATGTAAGTGATGAGCTAAAAATATTAATTTGTGGTATGAAAAAGGCAAAATACAGTGATCTTTTTGGCTGCTAAGAATTTACAGCTGTAACTGAACAACAGAATTGGTTGCTCAGAATTTTTAGGACTCCGGTGACTTCGTAAGTTCTGAGCAATGAACTGTGCAAGTGTGTGGTCATGACTTTGAATGTAAGCATCAACATTTGTTTAACAATATAAATATTCTCAAGAGTTAACATTTTATAAAGAAACATGTGGTGGTTTGAGTGGATTCACCACTTTTGGCTTGCAGCCAAACACAGCCTGCTCTCTCACCCTCACCCTCCCTTGCCCAGGGAGTAGGGGAGAGAATTGGAAAGAAAAGGGCAAGGAAACTCACAGGTTGAGATAAAAACTATTTATTAATTAAAATAAAATGATAATGATAACAACAGTGATAACTGCATTTATGACCTGATCTTGTTAGAGAATACTAATGTGTAAGGTTTTTTTAGTAAGCAATAAAAACAGTTTACACTGACTTGCACAGTTCATCCACTTCCCCGATTTTCATTTGCCCCGTGGGTAAATGCCTTTTAAATGTTAGGGAATTACTTTAACCACTTTTACTACTACTGTGTTGTTATCTCCAAAGGCATAATGCAAGTAATAGCACTTGCTGTTATTTCATGTTATAGCATTCACCTCCTTGGATAAAGTCATAGTAAAGAATCACCATGGTTTGTTTTTTTTTAATAATAATTCAATACCCACCAAAATAAAGAACAACTTTGAGGAAGAAACATAAGTAAAAGTTGCTCAAAGATTGAGGCGAGTGGTTCTTTTTTTCCTGACTGCCAATGTGGTAGCTGTTCAAGCCTATTAGAAAGTGTGGGTGTGAAAGAAAGAGAGACAAACTCATGATATTAATCTGAGGGAGGAGGCAAGACCAACCAAGAGGAGCAACAACTTGTGATAGAATACTAGTAGAAGATTGGAATAGGGGCACCTGTCTTTATATAAGCATGTAGGTTGGAGCTTCAGATTTGTATGGGTTTCACTTTTTGAAATAGATGCAAAGAAGTGTGCTCTTGTGGACTCTTTATGTTTGTGAAGTAGTAAAACAATGTTAGGAGGATACTGTTATGTTAGTTCTTGAGCTTGTACAAAACTTGCACCGTACCATCTTTGATGCCATTCTCTTCTGAAGTATTCTTCTCTGCATCTTTTTTCCCATTAGTATAAAAGAAAAAAATTTTTTTGTCCCAGAGGCCACTTCTTATTATCCTCAGCCTGTTCCATTTTATTCCCATTGTGGCTTCAATACAGTCAGGTCTGAAGCAATTACCTATAAAAAATATCCAAGTGAAGTGTTAATCTCATTCAGTACTGTATTTTAAATTGTAATTTAAATTCCCTTTTCTTGTAGCTCTTAAGAGAGCATCCCAACAAGTAGGAAATCAAGAAAGGGAGCTAGGAGACCTGCATGGTTAAACAGGGAACTGCTGGGCAAACTCAAATGAAAGAAGAGGGTCTACAGATCATGGAAGGAGGGGCTGGCCACTTGGGAGGAATATAAGACTGTTATCAGAGAATGTAGGGAGGCAACTAGAAAAGCTATTTGGAAAAAGCTAGCTAGGAAAACCTCCTTGGAATTAAACCTTGCAAGAGAGGTCAAGGACAACAAAAAGGGCTTCTTCAAATACATGGCAGACAAAGCCAACACTAGAGGCAATGTAGGCCCGCTGCGGAATGGGGTGGGTGCCCTGGTGACAGAGGATACAGAGAAGGCAGAGTTACTGAATGCCCTCTTTGTCTCTGTCTACACTGCTGGAGACTGTGCTCAGAAGCCCCGGGCCCCAGAGGAAGTCAGGATAAAGCAGGAGTTTGCCTTGGTTGATGAGGACTGGGTTAGGGATCAATAAGCAATCTGGACATCCATAAATCCATGGGTCCTGATGCACCTGCAGGTGTTGAAGGAGCTGGCTGAAGTAATTTCTTGGCCACTCTCCGTCATCTTTGGTAAGTCATGGGGAATGGGAGGGGTGCCTGGGGACTGGAGGAAAGCAAATGTCACTCCAGCCTTCAAAAAGGGCAAGAAGGAGGACCTGGGTAACTACAGACCAGACAGCCTCACCTCCGTCCCTGGAAAGGTGACGGAACAACTTGTCCTCAGTGCTATCTTTAGGCATACCAGGGACGAGAGGGTCATTAGGAGCAGTCAACATGGTTTTACCAAGGGGAAGTCATGTTTAACCAACCTGATGGCCTTTTATGAGGACATAACCAGGTGGACAGATGATGGTAGAGCAGTCGGTGTGGTTTATCTTGAGTTCAGAAAAGCATTTAACACCGTCTCCCACAGCGTCCTCGCTGCTAAACAGAGGAAGTGTGGTTTGTATGATCGGGTAGAGAGGTAGATTGTGAACTGGTTGAAAGGAAGAAGCCAGAGAGTGGTGGTCAATGGAGCAGAGTCTAGTTGGAGACCTGTGCCTAGAGGGGTCCCTCAGGGGTCGGTACTGGGACCAGTACTATTCAATATATTCATCAACAACCTGGATGAGGGAACAGAGTGCACTGTCAGCAAGTTTGCTGATGACACAAAGCTGGGAGGAGTGGCTGACATGCCAGAAGGCTGTGCTGCCATCCAGAGAGACCTGGACAGGCTGGAAAGTTGGGCAGGGAGAAATGTAATGAAATACAACAAGGGCAAGTGTAGGGTGTTGCATCTGGGAAAGAACAACCCCAGGTACCAGTACAGGCTGGGGACAGACCTGTTGGAGGGCAGCGTAGGGGTAATGGACCTGGGGGTCCTGGTGGACAGCAGGATGACCATGAGCCAGCACTGTGCCCTTGTGGCCAGGAAGGCCAGTGGCATCCTGGGGTGCATTAGAAGGGGTGTGGTTAGTAGGTCAAGAGAAGTTCTCCTCCCCCTCTACTCTGCCCTGGTGAGGCCACATCTGGAATATTGTGTCCAGTTCTGGGCCCCACAGTTCAAGAAGGACAGGGAACTGCTTGAGGGAGTCCAGCACAGAGCCATTATGATGAAGGGAGAAGAACATCTCCTTCATGAGGAAAGGCTGAGGGAGCTGGGTCTCTTTAGCTTGGAGAAGAGGAGACTGAGGGGTGACCTCATTAATGTTTACAAATATGTTAAGGGTGAATGTCAGGAGGATGGAGCCAGGCTCTTCTTGGTGATGTTTAATGGTAGGACAAGGGGCAGTGGGTGCAAGCTGGAGCATAGGAGGTTCCATGTAAACCTAAGGAAAAACTTTTTCACTGTGAGGGTGACAGAGCCTGGAACAGGCTGCCCAGGGAGGTTGTGGAGTCTCCTTTTCTGGAGACATTCAAAACCCATCTGGATGCCTTCCACTGTGACCTACTGTAAGTGATCCTGCTCTAACAGGGGGATTGGACTAGATGATCTTTCAAGGTCCCTCCCAATCCCTAATATTCTGTGATTCTGTGAAGATTATTTACCGAATAAATTTATCTCTTGATAAAACTGTTAATCCAACTTTTTCATTTACTGACTGGATACTCTGAAATATGTAACCTCTAAGGATCTTTAACTTTGTTTTTCCCCTTGAAATAATGTGTTTAGAGGTATGCATGCATTAAAGATTTTATCCTTCAAACCGCCTTGGAAGAAGTTTTAATAGGAGCTATCTGGCCATTTTTATTGTTCTCAGGGTCATACAGTCTGCTTTGCTGGTTTTTATTAAGAAATAGTTTCCTCCTTGAAGTTTCCCATTGAGTCCTTTCACGTTTTTAATATATCTGTAAACAGACGTTGTCCAGATATTTTGCATCTATCATGCAAGATTAGCCAAGTAGTTCTTCAAACCTAATGATTATAAAAAGACTTAGTAGTTTACAATAATTGCTCAGAAAGTTGGTCAAGCCATATAATCTAAGCTTGCAGCTGTAGAGGTAACTTGTGTTGCACTGAATCAGCACAGCAAGAAAATTTGGAGGTTGTAGAAGCTGCACTACATATCTCAGATTTGCCACCAATGCTCTCTTGAGTCCCTTGGGAAAAAACTCACGTTTGGCTGAAAGGAAATTGCACCTTCTTATGGCTGAATTTGACCCATGGCATTTGTGGTCACAACCCATAAACAAATTTCAAGGATAAATTGCTGAACTTTCCTGCAACCCTCTCTCCTGAGTACAAAGCACACTCAAGCTTTCCTCCTGCTTCAGGAATGACTGTCCTGTCCCAACTCCAGTAGCCTTTTCTTGTGCAAATCTATGCTGTTTGTCTGTTTTCTGGTTTCTTTCTTATAACATTACAGAATGAGGACAAAATTCAGACTGCCTGAAAGATGTATGTTTTCCTACTAACCTTTTAATACACAACTTCTGTAGAGAAACGGAGACCCAGGCAGAAATGCCGTGTGTTGGGAGTAAGCGTTGATTTTACCAGACCTTTGCATGTGATTTTTTTTACATGACGTATTTCTGAGCAATTGTACTGCAAAAACATTGTATTTGGTAAGAGGTAATAGCATTAAAAAAATTATTCTGAATAAAATTACCATGACTTTTGAAGCTGTTTGAACCAACAACGTTTAGATTGGCACCATTAATATGCTGTCTGCTTAGGGACTTTTAAAACCTTACTTTAAGGTAATTAATTTTTTCAACACTTAAAAAATCACCGTGTGTAGTATTTACCCCATTGTGTGTCAAAAAAAATGCAAAACCTTTATCTTATTCTCCATCAGTTACTACATAGAGGAATACAAGTATATGAATGTAAGTGTAACTTGAATTTTTGTGAGTAGTGTTTAGACAATTGCGGTCCTCAACATGATCACTTTAAAAACCATTAATTTGTAAACTAAAGGATAAAATATATTGTAATTTATGAACACTACATAATTGTCTGTTCTCTTGATTTCACTGTTTGTAACTAATTTTGAAAAAGGTGGCCTCTGAAAGTCTTAAGAGGAGTTTTCATAT